GGGACAGCCCTCCGTGAGGAGCCAGGTACTCCTACCGCGGCTGTCCCAGCAGCCCGCAGGGGAAACAGGGAGCAATTTAAATGACGGCAATTGCCGGCGCTCCCGCAGAAAATCCGGGGCCAACTTTTTTTTCAGTTTGTTGGTTTCATTTGTCCTCCCGCGAGAACTCTGCACACCGACGGCATCAGTGCATCTGCTCGAGCCGGTCCTCAGCAAGGTCTGACAGAGCCCAGAATCGCAACTGCTGCAGACCAGGTGAATACCTGGAAGGGCACCCAAGGGAGTCCCAGAGGTTTTGCACTCTACAGATCTACACCGACACTTCATGCCACAACCAGTTTCTGGCAATTTTTATTTCCTTTAGGGTTAATGAAATGTGTATTCACTTGTATCTCCGTGAGGAGCCAGGTACTCCTACCGCGGCTGTCCCAGCAGCCCGCAGGGGAAACAGGGAGCAATTTAAATGACGGCAATTGCCGGCGCTCCCGCAGAAAATCCGGGGCCAACTTTTTTTTCAGTTTGTTGGTTTCATTTGTCCTCCCGCGAGAACTCTGCACACCGACGGCATCAGTGCATCTGCTCGAGCCGGTCCTCAGCAAGGTCTGACAGAGCCCAGAATCGCAACTGCTGCAGACCAGGTGAATACCTGGAAGGGCACCCAAGGGAGTCCCAGAGGTTTTGCACTCTACAGATCTACACCGACACTTCATGCCACAACCAGTTTCTGGCAATTTTTATTTCCTTTAGGGTTAATGAAATGTGTATTCACTTGTATGGTGGAATCTGCTTGTTGAGCTGCTTTCCGTGCAGAATGCAAAATAAAAATAACACACTTCAACTTTCAGTTTCTATTGAGTAGCTACAGACTCATCCTTTAATGAATCACAACCAAACATCAAAAAGGAGTAACATTAAAAAAAATTTTAAAAAGCTTAAGTCAGGACTTTAAAAAAACAGCATCTAGCACCTCAGCCTTCTGACAGTTCCCTCCAACAGCCCCCTGAGGTCAGAATATACTCTGAGCTTCACTTTAGAGGGAACACAGCACACACAGCAATCTCGGCCAGGGATCTGGGGATGCCCAAACTAAGAGCTGGAAGAGCTGTACTGCAGGGGGCATAGGATGCAAGTTCCTGCCCTGTAGGAACAGTCATTCCACTCAACAGGGTGAGGATTTGGAAACAGGTATCGTGCTTCCTGGCATGCATAACACAGCTCCCAAAGACAGCATGGAACTCGCTCTGCGCGAGAAGCAATTTAATATTGTGTTACAAATGTTGCGTGGTGCTCCAGAAACAACGAGGGGGAATTCCTGAGAAACCTAACTAGAGCAAAGGGTGACTGAGGGCACAGAGGTCAGATGGAGGAAGTTCTCAACCAGCCATCAGGAAGTGCAAATGCCTTGCAGGCTTCAGGTGCTATGGACTGGACAGCCACAGCTGTTCAAAATCATGTAGGGTACAGGGTAACAATGCTACTGTGGTTTAGTTCCAAAATCACAAAAGAACGTGAAGTCTTCAAGTGGACACGGATACTACCAAGATTCCAGGAATTCCTATTAACTGCTCTAGTACTCAATCAATGAATCTGTCAGTCAGGTGTAAGGTCTCCATTAAATAATGCTAACTACTGCAATTGGACAAGATTAATTCAAAATAGCATTGAAGACATTATGTTTTCACAATTACGTTATTACCCAATTATATCAAAACATGCAGTTTGTGCAGTACTTCAGTAACACTGAAACAAAAGTAATCTCTCCCTTTCTTTGCTTCAAATCATCCCGTACACAGTATGTAGCAGAGGGCAGGCGCAGTTAGTGTGAGCACTTTACAGTACACTTGCAGTCTCTGCCAGAAAGCAGCCATCTACATTTTGCTTATTTTGGCAGGTGTTACCTAAGTAGAAATGGATATTCTATAGGTCCACTCTATCAGTTTAACAGTATTTCAGCTACACAGCCAAAGAAAACAACTCATCCTTGTGGCATTACACCTTCATGTCACTCAAAGCTTTTCTTAAGGTGTTGCAAAATTATTGAAATGCCTGGAATATTTAATAGCCAAACCCGAAGTATTATAAAAGCAACTCCCAGAGGTTTTATTGTTTTAGTAGCAGTCAAAATATTCTTAGTATAGAAATCCGAGTTTATTTGAAAAAAGTGTAAATTATATTTCACAATATAAATTAAATCTGCTTACAGAGTTTTGGTGGCTGAAGCAGCTGTGACTCAACTGCTAACTGATAACTCGCCAGCACAGGGCTAAATGGGATCTAACCTGCTAGTGTAATGCTAAATGGAATAAGGGTGTAATTCATATTGCAAGTGTTACAAAAACATCCCATAAAAATAGTCAACCAACTATTTTCCCTCCTAGTATGAGTAACAGTGAACATTATGAGCAACATACCTGAAGTGGATGATTCGACTTTGCACGAAATTTTTAAACAACTTTCAATCATTCAAGTATTATGGTCCCTATATACACACTTCTATGTGGCTAAAAAAGACATGGTAGACAATTGAGCACACTGCCATCAAATTGTAAGAACTACAAAATTGTCAGGTTTTAAACAGCAAATTGTACCTTAATCATTTAATTAAAAATAGAAGAATTAGGTAGACTATTTTGCAAATAAAACACACACTAGTGTGCTATATATTAAGGCATACCTGTAAATGCGCACTCGTCATCTCAAACAAGTTTTATACAATTGCTACCAAGTGAAAAGGACTATCGTTGTCTTGCAAAACTGAGAAAGAAATACAAAATATCTGGAAGCCTGCATTTTTAAAGTACAAAATTAATCTGCAGTCTTGTGTTGAAATACTATACATGGTACAAACAGCGATTCTCCCCTACAAGATCTCACGAGGATTTCTTAAAGCTGGAGGTAAATTCAAAGGTTTTGATTCTTCATCCAGAAGTACCAAATCTTCAATTTCACTACCTTTATATTTTCTTTTACATATCTTCACAATAACTTTCTTCTTGAGGAACAATTTCAAAGCTTCTCTTGAAGCAACCGCTTTGGCATTTTCCATACTTCTACCACAGCCAGTACCCAAGTAGACAGACTTGCACCTCAGTTCACAAACTATGTTTTCTAGAGAGCTCTTATTTTGAGGCAAGTCTGCAAGTTCCTTCAGGGGAACAAAAGCAACATCTAAAGTAGCTTTTACAGACTGAATAGACGAGTTTAGAAGTTCAACGTGATTTACGTTTGGACTGAAGCCTCCAACAGCAACCAGTTTCCAGGCTACTGCTTTATATAGTCTGTTGAAAAAAGGTTGTCTTTCCTTTGCATCTTCGCTTGTTAAGGGTTTGCACAAAGCCTTAGCAGGGCTTTCACCTGCCTGTGAGCCACTCTTTGAGGCCAGCAAGGAAGCACCTGCCTGAGCTCCACCCCGGGAAGCCAGTGCCGAGGGACCTTGCTGAGCACCGCTCCGAGCAGCCAGCAGCGATGCAGCCACCTGAGCACTGCTCTTGGAAGTCAGCAGGGAGGATCCCTGCGGAGCGCTGCTCCGAGCAGCCAACAATGAGGCAGCCACCTCAGCGCTGCTCTTGGAGGCCAGGAGTGAGGAGCCTGCCTTAGCAGTGCCCTTGGAGGCCAGCAGAAGCGAGGTGCCTGCCTGAGTGCTGCTCTTGGGGGCCAGCAGCAGCGAGGTGCCCGCCTGAGTGCCACTCTTTGGGGCCAGCAGCAGCGAGGTGCCCGCCTGAGTGCCGCTCTTGGACACTGATGCTGGGGCACTAGCCTGGTTTTTGGAAGACAGCAATGTAGCACTTGTTTGTGGGCTGTTCTTGGCAGCTGGTGGCACTGCTGCTGCCTGTGGGGTGCTCTTGGTGGTCGGTGGCACTGCTGCTGCCACCTCTGGCTGCAGAGTGCTCTTGGCAGCCGGGGGGACTGGTGCTGCTGCCACCACCCCC